ACCGCGGCAGGCACTGTAGATGCCGGCGTCGGCGTCTGGAATGTCGCCGAGCTGGCAAGGTGCTTTCATGAAACGTCACATTGTCGTCATTGCTTGCCTATTAGCACCTAAAGATTCATTTACATCTATCGTAATGTCTATCGTAAGCTCCGTTATTACAATGATCGTAATGCTCATTGATCGTTTTAGCTATCGTAAGCTCATCGTACGTTGACTCAACTTCAACTCTTATTGGCTTTTTACAATAAACTATTACCTAAGCTTTAAGTCTCCATCAGTAAGAAATTAACCAATTATAGTCGAATTTGAGAAGAATAATCGATTATAATTGTTACAATCGATTATAATCGGTCAATTTCTTACGGCTTAAGACTTAAAGGCTGCTTTCCTTTTAAGAGACACAGGGCGCTACAAATGCTTCGAAGCTTTTGATTGACCAATCGGAGGAAAGAATTTTATTAATTGACCAATCAAAAAATCAAAAAATGCTTCGAAACATTTGTAACATCAAGTGGATCGTAGCCATGGTCGACACAAATGTCGTTCTATCTTTGTTATTCATCGAATGTCAAGAAAGATAGAACGACGATTGTGTCGACTACTGTATCTTCTAAAAGGAAATCAGCTAAAAAATGGCTTATTGTAGAAAATCTATAATGATTATGACGTTTGTCTGGCGTTACGACAGTCAATGAGACTCTGCAGTATTCTCGAAAAAAAATGAGTGTTTTTTTATTTTTTAATCAGCAGATATATAAAGTTACACGTAACGTACCTGTTAGTTGTAATTTCCTACTCAATAATATAACTATAATAATAATATACATGTTACATTACAATTATATATTATTGATAAGGGAACGTTCCTAAGTAGTAAATTTCATAATAATGCCAAACTTTACAGATTTGTTACTTGGATAGCCAGAAAGTGAATTTCATTATTTATAAGCTCTATCTTTGCAATATAAGCAAAAAAGAAATGAAATATATCCGAATTTTTATTGATCATGTTATTTTGACAATTCTTGTTTTTTTTTTTTAGCAAATTGTAGTTTTTTTTAGTTGTATTAATACTTCAAAAATTGTAATTTACGTTAAAATGAAAATATATAGTAGAATCAATATGTGGACATTTAAAACTTACGGAATTGCAGCGCTTGTAACACTAAGGAGCGGTAGGCACTTGGCTCCGCCTATGTATGCTCGAGAATTCAAAACTTTGCTTCGGACCTTGATTTAACCTTGATTCAAAACTTTAGTAACTTAATAAAAATATATCTATTTTTTTGTTTCCCCAGTATTTGCTGTGTTAGATTAGATTTTATTTAATATTTGTATTTTAATTTTCGATTTATTATTTTATTATTTAATTCTTCTTATTTAATTTATCATAAATATTTTATCAGAGATTTTTTTTACGTTCTAATATACACTATGAGTGTCATTGAAAATCTATTTAATATGTATATGACATGAGCTATATATGTTCAGTACATAATTGGAGCGCAATTTCTTAAATAATGCATGTTTGCTACATTTCCACCATTTTCATCGATGTAAGTTATAAATTTAGCAGCGCGCGCGCGCGCGTTAATACAGAAGAATTATATTTTACTAAAAAGCAAGAATTGACAAAATAATATGATCAATGGTCAATAAAGTTATATTTTTTTTTCTTATATCGCAAAGGTAGGAAATTAGTAATAAATAGTGAAATTCATTTTTTGGTTATCCAAGTAACAAATCTGTAAAGTTTGGAAGGTAGAAAAGGAATATGTAACACAGTTACGTTACATGTAAGTATTTACTGAATAGTTGTTTTATTAATGTTGCAGCATACAATGATTAATTTATACCTCTTCATGATATAAAACATTATCTGTGAGCAAATGATTAGTTGTTGTATAACACAGGTCATGATACATTGCGATTTTATGACAAACAATACTTACGATAATTTTTTTTCTTACAATTAAAGTCTCACGATAGATATAGATGGACCTTCATTTTACAAACTCTGTCGCATTCGTACTCTTTCTTTCTAACTGTGACCTAATGCTTCTTTATTAATTATATGCTATTAACATTCGCAACACAATCTTTCGAATAATATGTAATTATTTGATATTTGCCAAACTTGAATTTACTGCATTGATTAATTATTATTATTAACATCATAGCTTATAGCAAAGCAATAATAAAAATGGAGATCTTAACTATGCAATTAAGTCATAAATATTACAAACTTTTCTCTCAGTGTACAAGCCGAAATGTTTTGGAATGTTCATCTAAAAATTATTTCATATATTATTTGTTTTCTTCAATCGAAGGCTAGAAGGAAAGATTTGAAGGAAAATTTCACTTCAAATTGAATTATCTTTATCTTAATACCGAATTTCTGTTATTTAAGAATTGTACATACATATATCTGAAGCGTAGTCTCTTCGAAGCTGTAATCATGCTTGATATGATTGTTGTTTACAGCGCCGCGCATTGCTTTTACTACTGCTTATTATACTTATTTTAAAACTAACTTATACTTTGCACCAAAGACGTAGAGCATAGACTGCGCCATTCGTATCTAAATAGTACATCAAATATGATTAACAAACATAAGAGAAAGGGAGCGTGACATTTTCTGTCACGGAAGACGGTCAATTTCCTTCTTTTTCTAACATATTGTGATTGATTGAATGGAAGGAGACAGAGACTGGCCATTTTTACCTTGATTTTCACGTCCTACCTCTCTTATTTTTATTGACCAATTTTACACATGGATGATGCAGTCCATGCTCTATCTCTTTGACTTCTATACAAGTCTGTGTTTGTATCTAAAAATAATTATAGATAGGTGCTATTGTTTTTTTTTTTGTTTTTTCCATTTTGCATGATGTTCGACTGTTTGTCACCGCGGTTTTGTAGTGCAGCTTCGCACAGCCATTGATAACCTTTGCATGTGCTGTCTTGTATAAATAACTTTATAAACAATAATTTTAAGATAATTCTCAAACATTAAGGAAGCTTCAAACGATTATAATGCAAACGCATATCTATCGTTGCAGGTTTTACGCAGCAACGCTAATCCTCTAGGCAACAAATTTGTAACACCATTGACAACTGACGAACCTACGTCGTTCGAAACGATTTAGAGCGAAATTATTTGATTCTCCGATGCCAATCTTCGATTTGCCACTTTCTCTTGATCACATTATTTAAATAACTGATGGAGTTTGTACACGGATGATTGTTAGAGAAAAAATCTGAGAAGAGATAAATCGAATCGAAAGAATGATTTGCGTGGAAGAGATATTATTTATAAGAAATTCAGCCTCACCACGCGGATTAGTGTTAATTGATGGTGTCGAAATGCGACGACGTGTCGAATAGTATCATCCATCAGAAGAATTCGCGATTGAGGGAGCATGGAGGATCAATTGCTCGATGGCGACATTGACGGGACAGATGTTGTTCCAGATGCTATTATTTTATTGCTTTCCTTCACCATCAAGAACAATGTCGTTAAAGAAGTGAGTTTCGATGACGATTCATGGGGGAATCGCTAACTTGAATATTGAAAATGCAATTGTGATGAACTTGAATGCAATCCGAACAATCGGGTCGCGCAATAATCTCGCAAAAAAAAGAAAGACTTAAGTGATTTGAATACAAGTGTTTGCAGGCGCGAAAAGCAGCCCGTATCGGACATTTGTCGGTGATCTTAGTTTTATTGACAATTGATCTCATTAGTATTAAAAGCTCTGTTTTAAATTTAAAATTTAACTTAGAGTTTATGAAACACATCGACGAACGCGTACTTTACTAGTCCGTCGATAACGGACGAAATTTAAATGCGGAATTGTAGATTTTAATAAAAGAAGTAGATTCTGAAGATTCGGAGGAGAGGTAGTTGTAGACACAGAAGTTTTATCACGTAACACATATTGAATAGCGTGCATTCTTTTTACTTGCCATTTAAAATTTTCAGTTGACATCTGCGTTTATAATAGCGACCAATAAACATTTATACATACTGACTGATGTTTTATTTATTTCGCCGAACATCCTTGTACAAAAGTAGGAATTGATTGAGAAGTAAAATAATACATTTGCAAAGTAAGATAATAAATTTTTTTATTGTACAGTTTTAATTAAATTTGGCTAAGTATAAAGCACATTAATTTATTGAAATTTCTTGCAAAAGTAAGAACGTAAAGCGGTAATCCAAAGAAAAATACTAACAAAATATTAAAAATAAATATTACTTTTTAATAAAATCGTTTTTTATTTTTTGTTACATTTACAACGTTTATGTCAATTTGGGGAGAGAGTGCTTTATATTTTTTATCAAAGCTGTATTTATAACTTTTATATGTGTTCTTCTATTTGTTTTAAGAGATATTAATTTGAAGTAATTGTAATTTTTAATTCTTAATATGTGCCTAATGAGTATTTTTTATCCTATGAAGTACAGGGTGAATCATAATATAGGTATGTCTCAATGTTTTATCATGGCTGGGAAATAAATATTTCACTCTCTCTTACGCTTTTTCCAGCTGGAGTTGGTAATTCATCTCCCATGATAAAACGTTGAGACATTCATTTAAGATTCATCCCGTATGGCGTATGCAAGATTTTCATAAGAACATAATGATAAATAAAATAAGGCTGCATTAAACAAAACTTCATAAAGAGATGCGATCTACTTAAAGTTGCAAATGCAAATGCTTCGTTGATCAATTAGAAGAAAGAATTTTACGAATTGATCAACTAAAAAATGCTTTGAATCATTTGCAGCGTTAAGTGGATCGCACCTTAGGATATATGATGAATCGCACATTTTTTACTTTACATTGTTATCTAGTTATTTTTATGTCATTCAAAATTTTATATTAAATGATATCTTTTTTACAAGTATTAAAAAAATTTTGGTAGTGCTGGCCATCAGTGATTACTAAAGTATCAATGAAAAGTAGGCGTTGGTCATCATGGCGATCAACGCGTTAAGACGGTCGACTTCCAAGGCAAGGTAAGTGAGTCGTTTCCTTAAGACACTTGTCGACGTTTTGGCAGCATTTCGAGGCTGTTTCTAAGAAAATCTTCCAAGCTTCATCTTTCGAAGCTCTCGGTAGCCTTTCGTAGATGTCATTGTACAATTCATCCAATTCTTCGGCGTTCAGATTGAGATCGAGATCGTTGTTATAGGCCTGCCGAATATTATGCTAGTCTGATTTTTCTCTGTAATTGCTTTTATATCCAGATTTACCATTAGCCCCGTTTAATTAAACTTGCTATTTTTCTTTCTCGAGTTAATTGATTGTTTACTAATATATTCCTACATTAATTTTCCGGAGCTGACGGTTTATTGAATCCATTAAATTATAAATCTCTTTATCAAAAATGTCAAACAAATCAATTTTTTTCATGTTATACCTGCAAATTTGGATTATTCTTATTAAAATATATTTAGCATTTATTTTTTTTAGATGAATATTTTTGGCTCTTCGAAATTAATTAGTGCTTTTAATTTTAACATCAATAAATGGATTTTACAGTCCTATCGTCGTGTTACAGATTTTGACGTCAGCTTTGGAGGATTAATATTAATTATGTTAGTTATTATATGTCATATGATATTGTTAAAATTATTCAGCCTGATGCTTTGCGTGTGTTTGATACCATCTGTTTATTTTGCTTTGTTGTGAGTCAGTCGCGAGAAGTCGAGATACTATATCGTCGGAGGAATTTGCATACAGCGCAGTTGTAATTGCATACACACATGTTAATCACACAGGTAGCGCAAAACGCATGACACGTTAAATTAGAACATTTTCATTGTTAGGCTGTTTATCGAGTTATCGGTGTTTATTTGTCGCGTTACAGCTAAAAGCTTCTTTTTTAACAAAGAATTACAGCGAAATGGATCACATAATCGTAAAACGTTTTAGTTCATAATTGTAAAGCGGTTTAATGGATTGCAATATTGATCTTGATGGATTGACTAGAGTCCGCTTCTTAAATAACAAATTGAAGGTGGCTCCCAGAGGCGATTGGCTTACCGGAGTGTGGAAGGATACGAAACCTCTATCGAACGGATAAGGCACCCTGAGATGATATCCTGACCGATTGAGAATAGATCCCGTTAAGCTCAAATTGGAATCATGATATCCTCTTCCGGATGCATACGCTCGAGCTTTGGAGGCGCCATTTATAGCTTCCGCGACAATTGGCAAGATAATACCACTAACTTGTTCGGATGTCAGTTGCCTTTTCTGTGGAACGCCGTGCGACGCCGAATTTTTCGGCTTCGAATAATCTGAAGAAACATGGAATTATACTCTTTAATGTAGAAAGAAAAAGAAAAAAAACAATAAAAAATTACAGTATCAAGATTCGGATTTCTTAAAATTTAAACAAAAATGAATATAAAAGCTAGAGAAGTCGGCCCGATCGACAGTGCGCAAATTAAGAAGTGACTTTTACCTTATTATAAAGCTTTAATCAAAATATATGTAAATACAAATTCGTACGTTTCGGCTTAAGTTCGAGCCATCTTCAGCGTAAACTTTTCGTGTGTGAAACACTTAACAATTTCGAAAACTATTGAAAATTCGTGTACTACACATTCGCATTACTACATACAATGTTTCTTGCTCTGATCACAATTGTAGAAGGAACGAGACCCATTCTTAGTACACTCAACCAGCTCTTAAGCTCGATGAAAAGGATTGTGCGTATCTTAACTCCAGTTATTGTAACCCGATGACAAACAACTAATTAAACTTGTGCATTTTCCCATACGTCGATTGTTAAAAAATATATCAGAATTGTCACAAATAAAATTAAAATTCTCGTTAAACGTTAACTAGATGACGGTCAACCGTAATGATGACCCATCATTTTACAGTTGATGGTTATTAACGTTTAATTAGTTGCTTGTCATCGGGTTACAATAATTGGAGTTAAGATACGCACAATCCTTTCCATCGAGCTTAGGAGCTGGTTGAGTATACTAAGTATATTTTAAAGGATTGGAAAAAAACCCAATTTTTCCAATTTTTCCGCGGATTTTTTCGGTTTTTTTCCCAAGGGTAGAAAAATTCACTTTGAAAAAAATTCACGCGTGCTCGTAAAACCTATCACGTTTGCTTCTCGATTCTTTCCGTAAAGAAAATAATTGGGTACACAGCGGGATAAGTTAACAGAAATTTTGAAATTGCACTGAGAGAAAACGAAATAGTTCCAGCAACTATAAATTTGGCAACTTTTGCAATTGAAGTACCTGTAGCTAGTTTTACAAATAGAAACTAAAGTAGTGCTGAATATTATAAAAATATAGTCACGGTAACAAATTGTATGCACTATTAATTGGTATTGAAATAGTGACTACATTGAGTAGTTACTTGGACTTCATGCAAATAGATATAACACTTACATTTTTCTCGTTTAGACAAAAATTCTCAAAGTGTCGCTCAGTACGAGTAGTACGCGGCTTTGTCACCAGAGGGACGTAGCGGAGTTCAGTTTCTCCTAAGAAGGAAACCACTCAGCTTACAATAAAAGGCGTAGCGTTGGTTTCAAACTTGGAAGACAAAAATAAATAAGAAATGCATAAACAAATTTGTAACTATGTATTATAAAGCTTTAATAAGAACAATAAATAAATTAAGTGAACTAAGAAAATATAGTAATATTAACCATTTATAAATTGTTTATATGGTTAATGTACTATATTTTCTTAGTTCACTTAATTTAGTATTCTTATTAGAATTTAATAATATGTATATAGTTGAGGCGCTATTTCACTACAAATTTATAGTTACTGATACGATTTTTTTCTCTGAGTGTATAAAAGATTGAGGTCGCATAATGTATTCAATAAAACATACAAAACGTACACTATTGCACCACTAATGCAAGAATTAAAAATATAGAGTCCAAACATCATGTTTATATAATAATAGTAGTATAATAATAGTCTAGAAAATAATTTGGATTTAAACTGAATTCGTAACAAAATATTTGAAAAAAAATAAACTACAAAGAGACACTTCAGGAGTTCATTAGACTGGAGTGTGACAAACTAGAGTTAAAAATCTGTTTACTTAAGCTTTGCCATGTACTAAAGGAAGGTTAGATTAGGTTTTATTATAAAAATAGAAGGATAACTAAAAAATTACTAAAAAATTTTAATAAAAATAATGCTACATAATTTCATAGATCGCATTAATTTTATAAAGGAATTTAGAAGTTACTTATTATGTCTTTTATTGTGATCAGAGCAAGAAACATTGTATGTAGTAATGCAACTGTGTAGTACACGAATTTTCAATAGTGTCTTCAAGATTGTTAAGTATTTCACACACTAAAGGTTTACGCTGAGGATGGCTACCTTTCAAACTTGAGCCGAAACGTACGAATTTGTATTTACTTATGTTTTGATTAAAGCTTTATAAGGTAAATGTCTCAGTAGCCGGACGTTTAAGCGTTAAGTTCTCATAAATAATACAATTTATAATATCAAAAAGGTTTTTAATATAAATATTTGTATCCATTTGAAAACTCAAGACTCCCTCAAGCAAGGAAAAATTATTTGAACTTATAACAATTATTAATTAAAATATTTAAATAAATAATAGAATGCGTCAATGTACCAGTGGCCAGACAAGCCGGTCGGACACTGAGACGTAATTGTCCCAATGTCCGACCACAATTGGAAAATTAATATGCTGACGGAAAATAATAATATAAATAGATGTTTAATGACAAAAGACAACTAATTCAAATTGATCTTTAAGGTAAAAAAAGCATTTGAGATTAATATTAATATAAATAAATAGTTTTGTGTAACTGTCCGAACATAGGTACTGTCCGATCCCAGTGACTGGACATGTACCTATGTCTGGACATAACCTATGTCCATTTACATAACACTTTATTTATTTAAATTAATATTAGTCTCAAATACGGTTTTTAAAACGTAATATTATAATTTAATTGTAATCTGTAAATGCAATTAAATTATAATACTGTAATAAAAAAAGCATTTGAGATTAATAATAATAATAATTTTGTGTAAATGTCCGGACATAGGTACACACATGTCCGGACACTGGGATGTTTATCTTAATAAGGTAAAAGCAACTTCTTGATTTACTGTCAACCGCGCCGACTCCTATAGTCTTTATATTCATTTTTGTTTAAAAAGAAAAAAGATGAACGGTACAAGAAGTTTTACTTGAAAAAAACAGATCTATGATATAATTAATAGCAAATTCGATTGGATGCGCAGTGATGCGCATTAAAGCTGTTGTACAGAAACCGATATAAAAATTGTGTTTAATATAAATAGAAAAATAGATTAAATCATGAAATCCTTAATATATTTTATTCTGCTGTGAAGTAAAATCTGTATTACATGGTTCGGGATATTTGCATATTACTTTTACTCATTGTCAGATTAAATCAGTGTAAAACAGCTTTAGTACTCGGTTGGATGCACTATAAGTGCTCACTAGTGCGTCTAACCGAGTTTGCTATAACAAATTCCAAACAGCGTCGTTTCAAAGGCTTATTGCGCTCGGGTGCAGATGAGTATCCCACTGCCATCATTTTCTACCGATTACACAAACAATCAATATCAATCTTCATTAAATCTAAATTCTAAATTCTATGCCATGGCTATAATAACATGAAAATCGATTGTATGAAAATCAATTACTTTTAAAGATACGTCAACGGCCGTCGGTCACTCTTATAAGAGGGCTACCCGGATGCAGTTTGAACGGGCTCTGACTTCACAATTTGTTTTTTTTTTCAATTACTATTACTATGTTAAAATGACGATAAATAACGTCAACATGTTACTTGGGAAATAATTTGATAAACATCAAGACTTTGTGGCGAAACATTTTTGTCACCCTGTAATCTAGAGTTTGAATAATGATGTGTAAACATTTTCGTATACTTTACTAATAGATTTTTAAGTGTACAAAGTTTGTAATTGTAAAAGATGTACGTTAAAATCTTATTCGCTTACCGGATTCTTCCTGTCTCTTCGCTTCATACTTCTCGGTATATTTCTGCAGATCGAATTTTTCCAGGCCTCTCTTGGCTCTCTCAATACCGAGTCTACATCTTTTCACGTGTACATCCATCACGACTGACTTACATTGTTTACTGGCCCACGAGATCTCACATATAATTCCCAATATTGCCAAAATAAGCATAATTCCACAAGCTCGAGTTTGATGCAGATACATCTCCTTTTAATCGTTCGTTTCAACCTATATAAAATCTGAACTGACTTGTCGCTCTTTTAAAAATGTTCTTATCCACAGCGTACGTGTCAAAGACACATTCGTGCAGTCGTATCTGATTTGCTTCCATTCGTCTGTATTATGTGCGATGTTGCACGTACATAATAATTAATTATCGTATGAAATTATCAATGGGAGAGAGAGAGAGAGAGAGAGAAAGAGAGAGAGAGAGAGAGAGAGAGACGATAGGAAAGACAAAGAGCATAGATAAGTATAAAAGTGAAGAAATGTATCGCGAAATGTATTAATTAGGTTGAAACAAAAGTTCGTAATGCTACTCCATTTAATAGCATATCTATGTATTTAAAAAAATTTAGCAATTATATTATTTGATACAGTAAAGTTTCAGCTTTAAGAATCTTTTTAAATTACGGTACGTGCGCGCAATGCTTTTTAATGGAGTGCATGGGCAATCAAAGTCAAAATACTTGTTTTATTTAATCCGTGATAACTTAATAATAAAAAAAATCTTAGGAACATTAAAAAACAATTTTGTAAGGAAAACTTTGATTATTCATGTTAGAAAATGGAAAATTTTGTAACTTCTTTTATGCACATAATAAATAGGTCTACAATGTGAGAAGAAAATGTTTTACTTTGTTCTACTCGTAGTTTCTATATAATGTAAAAATTATCAAAGTCACAGAAACTCAAAAGATATAGTGATCTTTCGAAAATAGAGTTTTTAAGTTCTCAAACCTCTACATTAAAATTTGAACTTTGTTAATTCTTAATAAAATTACAGCTGAATTTTGAAGTTCATAGCACTACAAACTTTTTTCTAACTCAACATATATTTTTTCATAGTAATATTATACTTTCTTCAAATACGCGAGAAATGTGTGTTTGAGGACTAAGTAATACGTGCATGACAAATAGTAGATTATTTGTTAATTACAACCTTAATGTGGGTCTTTTTGCGGCACTATCATTAGTATGGTCATGCAATAATCTGGTGACTGTAATAAATGGTCTCTTACTTCATTGCTGCGTGGGCATCAATTGATACGAGCATACGATGAAATACTCTGCACGATGTTGAAATTGCATTCTTAGGGTCTAGACACAATGAAAAGCATACACAAGAAATAACACATAGGCATGATAGATTTCAACCTATCGAAAACCATATATCAAGGCATGCCAAATTCTGTTAGGTTGAAATATGTATATTGCCTATGTGTTATTTTCTGTTTCTATTGTTTATGCTTTTCATTATGTCTAGATCCTTACGTGATAAAAAATCATTGGTGCATGTAAGAAATGAGAGTCAGCAATGTGAAGTGAGAGAGTCCGACGACATCTTAGAGGAAATAATGAGGAAACGAATTTCGAATCGAACAACTCTTTTTTCATCAAGGAAGAGAAGATAAAACAAGAATGAGCAAGTCCGTTTTGATATCTAGACAACAAAAAGTCTCTAAAATCGGGTCATAAGACGTTTTTTACGTCTAAAAGACGACTTAATGACATCTTATGTCACAATTTTAGACTTTGTGTTGTTTGGGTACGTGTCGATTTTTCCATTTACCGTTTTAGAGAGAACATTTTCTATTATTTATAACGATTATTGTTCAAGAATAATTAGACTACAAGCATCTTAGTTCCCTTTTGAAAAGGAGATCTAACATAACACGAGTCGACATTTTCAGTGTTGATTCAGACACTTTAAAGAAAATTTCTTTCTATATTTTATATAATTGGTCTATTTTAAAAATTAAAAAAATATATAATACAATGATTAAAGTTAAAATGCGGAAAAAGGTTTATGCACGGAACGAGAATGCATGTAAGAAATAGAGTTTAAGATACAAAAAATGTATTTATCGGTAAGACTCGCTTAACAGCACGTGTTTGCAAAAGCACGTAATCACTTTCAGGTATCCTAAACAGTTGTTAATAAAGATAATAGAGGACTGTTTGCTTTTGTATTAATTTTAATTGTTACGTTTGCAATTACGTTATTATGGATTATACATATGGATTTAAAGCATTCGTATTTATAAAAAATTATCTTTTTTTTTTAAATACTGTTCATTGCCTATAATAAATTAACTATACATTGCCAATTGCAACTATACATTAAGTGATTATACATTGCTTGTAATCAATTAAAGAAAAGAAAATACTCAAAATGCCTTCTGTAAAAAGCACATACGTAAACATGAGCTCTCTGATGTGATCTGACAACATTCATCTTGATGTTGAAAACATTTGTACGAATAAAACAGTGAGACACGTACAAGAAAAGAAGAATACGATAATGACAGTCTTTTTAATTAATCATCAGACTTTTATCTGTTTTAAAACATTATAACTACGTATTTATAGCAAGTTCTGTTTAATTATAATATACACGGCATCATGAATTTATTAATATATAAAATTGTAGATTGATTTATGATTAATATATAAAATTGTGCAACTAAATTTTTTAAATGTCTTTCTTTTTTATATATAATATATGTATATTATATATGTATATACTATACATAAAAAATAATTTTTTATATCTCTTATAAACAAAAATTTAATAAAGTAATAAGATTCCCTATATTTAAACACAATGATAATAGGAACAGGGTTAGAGGAAATAAGTGTTTCCCAGTAAACACAATGTTACATGTAATGTACATATAACATGTAATGTCAACAAGACAGTGTGTTATATTACAGTTACATCAATATTTTGTTGAACTGACATTGTATATTATATATACGTTACATGTAACATTGTGTTTACTGGCTTGTAGAGAAAAATGTTAATATCGTTGCAATTGACTTTTGTTTCTCGGTCTCTTAATAAAATTTGTTAATTTTTTAATATTAAGAGATATTTTGAATATTAGCGCACCTCTATAAGCGCCTATTCTCTCTAGTTCTATCTTTATCATGATTATTGTCTCTTATAAACCGTGATTCTTTGATAGCTCTATTTTAATACTTTTATATGCAGAATAATTAGAAAAGTATATAATTAGAATAATATATCATATTATATAAAAAATAATATAATTTCATTTAAAAAAATGGTGTACGAATATACTATGTATTTGATTTTAGAAAGAAAATATAAGTTTTATACACGTTTCGCAATTGCATAATTAGAACATATATTTGTATTCATATTTATACATATTTGTTAACTGTCTTCTTATTATTAGGTAATTGGTTGCTTCTGATGGCTTTTTCTTTTAGCAACAAATAAATATTCGGTCCTTTATCAATTAATGTGAGATATATTATTAATAACAAGAGGTCTAAAATAGACAAAGTTCTTTAAACTGTACATATTATAATATTGAGTGCACTTTTTTGAATTATAATATGAATATAATATGAAAATAGTTATTATAATATGAATACATTTTTTCCTTATAATAAATATCTAATAGAATGACAGACGATCTACTAGGATTGATTATACAATTAATTATACAAATGAAAAAGTACCTGGATTAGATTAATATATTACTTTATTTGGTATAGATAAACGTTTTATTACAGGCACCGAGACCGGACAAGGAGAGTACAATAATGAACTTGAAAATGATTAAAGAATCTAGAATCGTAACTAGAACCATAGAAAATTAGAACCATAATGAGAAATAATGACATAACAAAATCTGCCTTATATTTATTTATCAACAAACAGAAATTAACATATTCAATATATTGATTTATATCAATATTATATTACGAGTACATTAATGCATGAATTCTGTAACAATATTCTATCTTTAATAATAAAGACAGAATATTGTTACAGAATATATATAAAATAACATAAACGAATACTGATTAATGATTTCATATTACTATAGTATTATTCATTTGTGTATTATTTAGAGATACCGTTTTTCAATTTTAATCTTGAAAGGTTCAACTGTAGATAATACTACAGCCGAATTGAGTTTGATTTTGTCTATCTCAATGCTTTGATTTAGTTTAAATACGAACGTTCTTATCAACGTTGCTAAAATAACTTTCATAGATATCATTGCGTATTTCAAACCTGTAAATTTGTCAATTATGTGTAAATCAATTTTATCACAATAATTTATAATTTATTCATACTTACCTATGCAATTTCTTGGTCCATCACTAAAAGGCATGTAATAATATGATATACAATTTGTTTTTTCTGGAAGAAATCTATCCGGGTCAAACATCAATGGATTCGGCCAATATTTTCCATTTCGGTGCATTTGCATAAGTGATATAAGAACATCTGCATCTTTCGGTAAAACAAATTCTCCTGAAACATGTTTTTTGATATATTTAAACATACATTTTTAAGGCTCCTGTTCACTCACCACTACTGTCTCAGAGTGTGACGTCGAAGCGAAAAAATATACAATGAAAATTAGTGCAAATTATATTTGTATAAAAAACAGTTTTCAATCAAATAAAATTTGCAATTTATAAAATAGGAAAACTAATAAAGAAAATATAGGGCTAAGAGGAATCCGCGCAATAAGTATTGCGTTCCTCAATTTTCATTTAAATTTTAACATAAATATTTAATTTTAAGGCATACTTAACATTAAATTAACAATTAATAAATGACAACGCTCGTATGCAAGTAGAACAGACTAAATTAAAAATCTCAATTTGAGATAGCAGTGATGAGTTCGCAAGTGCCTTAACATGAAAGCATAAGTCCTGAAACACAATATATAGATGTAGTAAACTTTTAGTCGTATATAAGATATTGATAAATCATAATTAAATGTGAGAAGAGTAATTGGCTATGATTTGATTGACTTCTTACTGCTTAAAAAAAAGTACAAAAGTACAAGAACAAAAATAATAATCATTTCCTATATACAGCTTTTTATGTGCTAAATGCTATCCCATTTATTAAATTGTTCTATCATGTCATAATTTTAAGAAATTGGCAATTGAATATACAAAAAAAGGCTATTATAGTGTACTTTTGGAGGGCCTCCTAGGCTGTGTTCAGGAATTAGGGCTACCGCACACAAAATTCCGTAACAGATGACCGTAAGACATAAACTTAAGCCGATAAGTCAATCAGGATACTGCTTTAGATCTACGTAATCTAACGGAAATAGAAATAGCAGTAAATTTATCCAATAAAGCAAATTTCTACCGGTTGAAATTTGCTTTATGGATAAATTTACTGCTATTTCTATTTCCGTTAGATTACGTAGATCTAAAGCAGTATCCTGATTGACTTATCGGCTTAAATTTACACCTTACGCATACTGTTACGGAATTTTGTCTGCGGGGGTCCTTACTGCTAGACACGATTACTGCTTCGTTTACCATTCTGAATCTATATGCACGTGAATTAGTGTTCAAGTAAAGTGAATGTATTTTTTTGTAGACTTTTAATCTTCCCCACAAACTCAAATTGTTTAAGTAATTTGAGGTCCGCTGCAGATTTATTTGATACATATAAACTATAAAACTGTTATACAAAACAAATATTAACCTAAGATGATAGTTATAAATAAGAGCTAAAAATAAGTGAATTTTTTAATTTTTTTATTTTCTTGTAGAATTGACCATTTCGAACTTAATATTTGTGCGTATTTTAATTCTGTAAAAAGTTAATTTTCGACCGATTTTGCCTATCGTCATCCCCATTCCTTTTATTTCATGGCATTTAAAGTATTTAGACCGTACGCGGAGACATAAAACGCTCAGGGATGATATTAGCCGTAACTCATATAGGGCACTATAGGGCTATAGGACTTTGAAACATATTGCCTCACATTCACTGTTTACAAATTATTATTATTATTATTATGATGTTAGAAATTCAAAAGTAACACGTATTTCAAACTAGAACACGTATTTTAATTAAATTTGCATACTGAAAAAATATCAAAAAAATCATTTTTAATAAATAAATTGAATTTCTAACATCATCATAATAATAATTATAATTATAATAATAAAAATTTGTAAACAGTGAATGTGAGGTAATATATTTCTAGTCCTATAGTGCTCTCTGTATGAGTTACGGCTAATATCATCCCTGAATTCGAGCGTTTTGTGTCTCCGCATATGGTCTAAATGCCATGAAACAAAAGGAGTGAGGATGACGATAAACAAAATTGGTCAAAATGTGCAACTCGGCTGCAGGCCTGCCTTAATTAATTGCTCATTCTTTACTACTAAAAATTTCAAAAAGAAATTAGCAATATAAGTGCGCGCTCGTTTTTAACAAAATTTAAAAAGAAAATAAACAAACCTATTTTTAAGTCTTCCGTCAGTTTTCGTCCAATCATAGGGATAACAGGGAAAAGTCTTAAAGTTTCTTTAATAATACAATCCAAGTAAAGCATATGTTGTAGATCCTCAAATTTAACTGATGCAAGCTTTGGAGTTTCCGTGCCATAAATTCCCAATAGTTCTTTATACGCTTTTTCCTGTAATATAAAGTTAAATAATGTGTTTATATATACATATATGTTCAACCGGCAATCTACCTTTAAATTTTTTGCGATCTGCTGGCTCATAGCCGAAAATATATAACCATATGTTTTATTTTATGCAACATTAAAATAATATTAGGCGGTTCATTTTGAAAATAATCTATCAATTGTGTTATTTTTATTAATTTTTAAAAATATTACATACAAAGGTGGTCTTATTGATCAGCTCTCAAGCAACTATTTTAAAACTCAAAAAACATCTCGAGAAACTATATATGGTTCTTTAATTATACATATATTCTTTAATTATACATATATACAGAATATAATTAAAATAAGATAACAAACTTCGAGGTTCCCACACTAAACAAGAAAAAAAGGTCATATGAACATATGTCCGCAAATCCACTATTATCGAGATATATACAGGATGTCCCATTTCAAATAATGCATTAAGATTTCTCGCAAACTATAGTAGATATGGAAAAATGTGTCAAACAAAAGTTGTATGACTCGGAGGGAGACATAAGAAGGTACCATTGATTTGACCTTGAGTGGCGTCGCCAAGGCCAGGTCAAGTTCACGTCGACTTTTTTTAATGGAACCCCCTATTTTTCATTACATTTTCTTGTAGCTTACGTTAAGAGCTTTTCAAAACACTACAATAAAATATTTTTTCATTAAATATTTTTCGAGTCATAAGACTCGAAAGTTACAGTACAGCCGACATTAGCATTACGCAAGTTGTCCGACCGGCTAAAGCCTCTTGAATGTTGTTCAAGATCATGTCCTGGATAACATTTGTCAAGAGCAAGGTCATTGGAGGTTGTACCTCTTATTTTCATTTTTGCACTAAGAATTTTTACGTAAAAATGAAAATAAGAGGTACAATCTCCGAGCATATGGAATCTACAGTTTTAATGCCGGTTCCGAATGGCGGATTTTCAAGAGGTGTTTCTGTGGGCAAAGATACTCTCGGGAGGTTGCCGGCCTTTTCCGAGAGGAGACACGAGCATAAATATTTTGGTTCCTACTAGGACGAACCCGGGACCCTCTGGCATGATAGTAGCTACGTTTACACCGTGCGCTTAGTCCGCGACCTATACGATAGATGTCTTTGTTTAACCTACAGGATAAACAAGGACATTTATTGTATAGGCCACGGCCTAAATGCACGGTGTAAACGTAGCCATTGTGCTGTCTGTCATGCCACGCTCGCGTATCCGTTTAAATTCCTTAATTTATAAAGTTCCAATCGTCAATGAAGATACGGTACGCCAACGCATCTTTAACGCTTGTGCACCATTCGCAATTGCTCTGGGATCTTTTAAAGAGTTCATGTGTATATTAAATCAAATCGAAGACACTTCAAACATTTGTTACAATTAAAAATTGAAAATAAATAATATTAAATAATAATAATTATTACTTTTTTATTTTCATCTATTAATAAACATTTTGAGTTGTATCTCAGCAACCATGAGTTGTGGACATATGTTCATATGAAATTTTCTTATATTTTGATATTGGAAACTCGGCCTCGAAGTTTGTTACCTTATTTTAGTTACACCCTGTATATATTCTACAAGATAAACATTATGTATACATAAGATTCTGCGAAAACAGTCTTCAGTTTGAAAACGGTTGAAAATTACTAGTACAAATTATAGCTTCATTTTGTATTTATTAAACGTATTTGTTTAAAAAATATTTTATATAGTTAAAAACAATAACAAATATTTTTGTTAAAAAGTTTCTGTGTATCAATATTGCATTATATATTATAATTATGTATATACATATATGTATGATATCTGAAATTATTTTATAATTACTCTTCTTGTTTTTTAGTATAAAATTTAAAAATACAAAATAACGGGTTAAATAACGGAAAGTTCAATGTAAGTTACTAATGATCCGAACTGTTAAAGAATTTGAAATATGTTTAATTATACGATTTTAACTTATCTATTGTAAGCTTTAAAACAATATTAATATATACATACTTGTATTTCTGAGAAATTTGCTAACATAATGATCACAAAATTCAACGCAGCAGCGGTAGTATCTGAAGACTATGTAATCAAAAATATAATTCAATTCCATTTATAAATATATAGTTATATAAAAGATGTCGTTACATACCGCTCCTATCATTGTAATTATATGGTCCATGATTTCCTTTTTCGTGAATTTTTCGTTACGAAATGAATGGATTAAAATGTCAAGAAACCGTATATCTATATTGCATACAAAAAACGGTATGTACTAATTAATTACTTATGTATATATAAATAATCAACTTTATATATATATTTTAATTTAAAAGTATAATCTTAAAATTATAAACTTTAAAGTAGATTTCCAAATTTTTAAAATAATATAAATTTAATCAAAGGCAAATTAGTGTTCCTATAATAAGTGTTCCTATAATAAGTGTTCCTATAATTAGTGTTCCTGTATTAGTGTTCCTATATTATTATGTATTAAGGCAAATGAGAATACAACGCGATTAACAAAGCGTAAGTATACCCAAATAACCAAGCGTGCGATACTCGCACAAAATACCACTATCGTACTGTTACGGTACTGCCACGAGATGGCGGTGTATGGCGTAATTGTACGGTAACAGTGCAAAAAGTATACATGATATTATGATACACCGTATCAACATTGTACCTGCACTGCATACTAATATTAATGATACCCGGGTATTCGCTCATTACCTGAAACATGCGAGTAATACTCGGGTACTCGTATTAGTCATATTACCCGGACGCATTACCCGGTTACCCGTAATAATCGTATTATTCGAGTATCCGTATCAGTTATATTACCCGGTGACAGATGTTACCTGTACAGGTTTTCGTTTTTTGTCAATAAAATGCTATTTTCATGCATTATAATATCAAATCTTTACTTTCTACGATCACACATTCCTAGAGCAATTGGAATTTAGACTAATTTAGAGCCATTAATCATGTTTTATCGAAAAAGTTGGATATACCAGGTATGTAAATATGAAACCGGAATTTTTTTTATAGAAAATACACGTTTATTGCATGAAAATGATAAAAAATATTTTATTTGAAGTATTGCCCATCGCTAGCTATACATTTTTCCCACCTGTCTGACAATTTGTGGATGCCACGCCAAAAAAATTGTTGCTCTTTTGAGCCAAACCAGTCATCTAGCCATATCGCATAGTCACGTAACGAATCAGAAGTGATCCGCTGCTGCGGTTTTGTGTCGTACTGAACACCCAGACACTTAATTCCTCGACGGCGAATGTCTACACACCCACTTCCTCAACGGCGAACACCTAGACACATATTTCCCCGACGGCGAACACCTAAATACCCACTTATTCGTCGGTGAATTATATAGACAACACCTAGATACTTAATTCCTCGACGGCGAACACCTAGGCGCCTACTTCTTCGACAGCGAACATGTAAACAACATCTAGACACCCGCTTCCTCGACGGCGAACACCAAGATATTCATTTCCTCGACGGCGAACTAGTACTAGTACACCTAGTACTTTCATACCCAACTTTTTCGACAAAACATGATGTACCTGAATAATAGGACTCTAAATTAGTCTAAATTCCGATTGCTTCAGGAATGTGTGATCGTAGAAAGTAAAGATTTGACATTAATGCATGAAAATAACATTTTATTGACAAAAAACAAAAATCTGTACGGGTAACATCTGTCATCGGGTAATATAACTGACACAGGTACTCGGGTAATACGATTAATACGGGTAACTGGGTATTACCCGCATGTTTCGGGTAATGAGCGAGTACCCGGGTAACTCGGGTAACTTATTACGCGGTTCAAATCATTGGCTATGTTTACACCGTGCATTTAGGCCGCGGCCTATACAATAGATGTCCTTGTTTATCCTGTAGGTTAAACAAAGTCACCTATCGTATAGGTCTATGCTTAGTCTAGGTGTGGATTAAGCGCACGGTGTAAACGTAGCCATTAGCCCTACTGCATACTATTCAGGTACATCATGGTACATATGCAGTATCGTATCAATACGATGTACAATTATCTACACGAGAGAGACTGTGGAGACCTCTAGTCGAAGACGAATTGAATTTCTTTGGTACTGTGAGAGTACAACGTATGATTTCCTAATCTGAACAGTCATTATATAATTTATAAAATTAATATCTCGCTTCGCGAGCAGAAAGATGTTTTTTTCTGCACAAATTTCTTTTAGGACCATGTTGACCAGATGTATCATAGCTATACATTCATGATTATATGAGTGTTCGTGGACCATCGAAGTATAGTGGTTTCCGTATGATTTTAAAAGTCAAGCACATTGGATGGTGGTATGAAACCGGATGGATGACCGCTTCGAAGCACTATGAAATTAGTTCCCGAATTCAGGAAAAAACTTTTTTTTTGTCATAATTTTATCATGTGTATTCTGGAATAAGATATTAATCAGTAATCACAATAATAATACTCATTTTAGCAATAAAACTATATAAAATTAATTAATTTTGGTAATGTGTGTATCTAAGGCGTACATTACCGATACCACGTACCAAAATACGGTGTACCGATATTGTACGGTCAGAAGCAATGAGATTACGACACCTTTTTTTTCTGATGAGTTTAAGTACGGAATTCATAGATGTTGCTCAAGACTCGAGATGGTCTTAAGCTAGTGCTTGAATCAATCAGAGAGCCGTATTACCTTCTTATGTGTAATGAATGAGACACATTTAACAAACTTCATATGATCATATTCATTCATTGCACATGAAAGGGATTCGCATTTTGCATCCTGAACTTGATTGTGTATTCTTAAACTCATCGGAAAAAAAGTGTCGCAACCACATTGCTTCTGACTGTACACTTTAGGTACGCACGTACGTGATTATAAGTATACGGTACCGGTACGCATAGTATACCGTACGCTCATCGTACCAATACCGTGGAAGTATTTTGTTACTGAGTAATGCTAATTCTACAATTAATCGACAGTCGGTAGTCTTAAAGAGGTTCGCCTATTACTTTGGAGTAAAATGCAACTGAAATAAATTGTCATTACAGCTACGAGGGGCATTATTTATATTTTGAGCCTAATAATAAAAAAAACAGTAATTTGTCATTGAAAATGACTTTATTGTTTTTCAAAATATTCTCCTTTATGATCTATACACTTTTGCATGCGTTCGAACCACTTGTTTGCACCAATCGACACGAGCATCTTTTTGAGATTTTGTCAGATTATGTGGGATCCAATGAGAACAAACCTTTTTCACGGCTAAATGATCATGCAATATTTTATATATGCTGGTGGAACTAATGCCTAAGGTTGTCTCAATCTCACAGTATGTCACATGACGATCTTGCATTATTAATTTTTGCACAGCATCAATGTTTTCTGACACAACAACTGATTTTAGACGACCTTCACGACTTTCGTCGGTGAGCGAACGGCGACCACGATTAAATTCGTTATACCAGCGTTTCACAGTGGCAAAGGATGGAGCTTTATCGCCAAAAGTGGAAGTAAGTTGATCGATGCACTCCTGTCTTGATAATCCACGTCGAAAGTCGTAATAAATCATTGCACGAAAATTTTCACGAGTTAATTCCATTTTTTCGCTGAGACACAATTTTCAAGTGAATAGTGGAAACGTCAGATGGCACCTGACAACACTCAGTGTTGCCAAGGCTCAAAATATAAGTAGTGCCCCTCGTATTCCGTAACATATGCAATATTAGTGTAATGAATTGTGAATACTATTTACGTGCTATATTTTTAGTAAATTATTAGTATATTAACAAATGTATAAGATGATCAACGACTCGGGAAGTCGAGTGTATATTTCAATTTGGGAACATTGCACTGCGTTGCACTTCGCTATGTGACAGACAGTGACCGGCTTATGACGAATAATAAGGGAAAAATTTAGAATCGATGTAAAGGCCGATTTTGTATTATTTTCATATCTGCTTCTTTACGCCGAGATGAATTTTAGGTTATATGAAGTTGGCTTCGTATCAGCTGTGCACTGCGGCGTTGCCAAGTCTTGTTACTACTAATGTGATCCGTGAGGTAAAGGTAAACTTTGTGACAATAAAGTTTTAAATCCATACAGTAAAGTCCGATTTTTCTTTTTTGTATATAATTGTTGATATTTCATTTGTCAAATGCTAGTTTTTCAAAGTTCTAAGTTGACTGAGTGTGTATTAAATCGGTGATTATCTTCTTCGGAACGACTGCCTCCCATAAAGCGATATGCTTAAAATGGTCAACTTCAGAATAATATTACAAGATACCTATACGGTCAATATTGCTTAAATTATGGGATTATTTGTGTGCAGTATTTATTTACATCATATAAAAAAATTAAGACTCTAAGTTGATTTTCGACTAACAGGCGAACCTCCTTAAGTCTTATCAGTGAATCGATGAAATTGACCAACAGCCAACTTGTACAATTAAAGATATGCTGCTTCACAAGCTGCTCATTGGCGGTTTCGCGACAAAAAAGATTATATGATGAGACTTTTGTCGCAGAAATATTAGAGCGACAACTATACATAAAAAAGGGCAACAAGCGTTGAATTTGATATATTGTTTGTGTTTTTTATGTGTTATTTGCAATGTTAACTCGTTGAATTAAATATAGTTATTAGCAATTATTAGATTATTCTAACAGCATCAAATCCTTTTATTTGGATCAGCAACATAGGAAAAAAATACATTAGGTTATACATACATATCACGGTCAACGCTGGTAAATATATGTATACGCTCGATCTCATGGTGGAAGTATATTTAATATACTTAATATATTTAACACAAACTATATAAATTATAGCCTTAAACGATCTAGCTGAATCGTAAATATTTGTATGATTCTGTGAATTTATATACTACGTATGCAATCCTTTGAAACGCGCGCTGAAATGATTTTTCGGTCTTGAAACGCTAACTCTACTAAACTACCGCAATAATATCACGAGTTGAATTGATTAGCAATTTAACAATTTGATGCTTTTTCGCATTTTCGAACGATCTTAATAATGCTGAATGACATATTATAATCTGTAAATATATATAATTCATTCTTATTGCAAAAAATATTATCTCGGTCAGGAGTCAAACCTGGATCTCTTGTTTTCCGGGCGAGCGTCCTAAGCTTTTATGCATGATCATCTATAATGGGCAGTAGCAGTGGATTAAGAAGTAGGCGTA